TTTTTTTTGTTTGTTTGTTTTTTGTTTTTCGAGACAGGGTTTCTCTGCGTAGTCCTGGCTGTCCTGGAACTCACTCTGTAGACCAGGCTGGCCTCGAACTCAGAAATCTGCCTGCCTCTGCCTCCCAAGTGCTGGGATTAAAGGCGTGCGCCACCACCGCCCGGCAACAGTTTAAAATCTTAAGCTCCTAAAAAAATCAAGCCCTAGGCCTGGTCTGATCTGCACAAGGCAATAGGTGGCCAGAACAATAGGTGGACACCAAAGCTGCAGGGTGGCCCATTAATGAGACTTTTAACCAAAATTGGAAAATCGGTTGTTAAGGACCTTAAATTTCCAGTATTTATCCAAAATACTCGAATTCTCACCTGGAGGATCATCTTTTGAAAACAGAAGGTCTTGCTGTACTCCTATGACTGAATTACACAGCCTGCTACTTAAAACCGCGGAGGGACCTAACCACAGCCCTGTAGTGAGCGACGCATGCTAGTTAGCTTTCCTCGGGTGAACAGCCCGGATCTCATCTGACTTCCCACACCATCACGAAGAGAACGAAGTTCCTAGATCAGCCTTCACCACTGAGAGTTGTACTTCACGTATTCTAAAGCCCGGCTGGCTCATCATGGCTTACAACACGACCTTGCTTACAAACTGCGTCTTTGGGGGACCTTTTCAAAGGAAGGAAAGTAACAAAGTATACATTTCCAAAACTCCTGTCTTGCAATCCCTCAACAGCACAATGAACGCTTTCACTTATTTTCTTCAGGCCGTCATTTCATTTAAATTCCTCCCTCCTCCTCCTCCTCCTCCTCCTCCTCCTCCACCTCCTCCTCCTCCTCCTCCTCCTCCTCAATATCTCCGGACAGTGATTCCTGGCAGTCCATCCGTCCCTTTCATCAGAGCTTTTCATAACTAACGGGTCAAGTTCCTGTCGCCCATTTCAACACGACTCACTGTACTGCAGGCTTGCCACCCCAGCCCACCGCAGAGGACCGGGATAAAAAATACTCCGTTTCACTACCCTTCATTGTTTTCAGGCTAACTGCCATCTTACCACCATGCACAGGACAGCAATGTGTCCCCGCAGGCATTTTATGAATTTCCAAAGCAGCTATTCTTTGTGGATTTACAAACCATGCGCCTTTCCCGAATCTCCCTTCATCACCACAGAAACGGCTTTGTGAAGCCGGGAGGGAAAAAAAAAAATCTTTTTTTTTTTTTTTTAAGTTCCTTCAAGGAAAAAGAAACAGACTCCTAAAATTTTCTATTTTCCTAGCATACCCTACGAGTCATCCTATTGGGCACAGCAGAGAAACGTCTAGGGAATAAAGATCTTCATAAATGCAGCTTTTGATGTCCGTGAAGTTTTTCGATCGATAATAATAATATCAATAACAACAACCGCGTCCAATGCCCTCTCTTTTCAGGCTCCACCGCACGGACTCATCAGCTCAACGTTAGAATCGAACGGCTGGCCCCGGCTTGTCGCTGCCAGGGCTCGCCCGCAGCCACCTCCCCTCGGCCAGCCGCAAGCCTGCGGGAGGGAGCGGCCCTCGGCTCCGCCACAAAGGCCGGCCTGCGCCCCGTGCACGTGTGCCGAGCTGCCGAGCAGCTGCCCGGGCGATCGGAGGGCCGGCCCCCGACGGGCCCACCGCAGGGTGGCATCCCCCTGCCTCGGGCCCTCTCCATTCCCATCCCCATCCCCCTTCTCCTTGGAAACCCCGTCGGGCGTCCCCGACCCCCCGGCCCCAGCGCCTCACCTCCTCCTCGCTCTCGCTGCGGAAGCACAGGCACGCGGCCCGCTTCTTGTAGCCGTCGCCGTCGTAGGTGCGGGTCTGGTTCGACTTGAGCTTCATCATCCTCCGGAGCCGGGTTGGGGGGTGCCGTGCGGGGCCTCGGAGTCGAGGGAGGGGGGAGCCTGCTGCGGACGGCCGCGCGCGCGCGCGCCCCAGGCACGGTCGAGAGGGCGGGGAGGAGGGTCTGTGTGTCCGCTACACGGCTCCGCGGCGGGACAGCCTCATTGCCCCCGGCCCAGGCCCCGCGCCGCCGTCACGGCCGCCGTCGCCACCGCCGCCGCCCCCTCTACCGCCGCCGCCCCCGACGACGACTGCGCCGCCATTTTGGACGCGCTGCGTCAGCTGCGTAAGGGCACGCGGGTCCGGCCGCGGGACGGCCGCGCGTGCGCAGCGCAGACGGCGTTCGGGAATCGCGCCCCGCGCCGAAGAGCGTCTGCGCTGAAGGCCTCGGGGGACTGGCGCGGCCGCTACGCAGACAGCGTAAGAGTGTGGACGGCGGAAGCCGGGTGAGGCGCGGCGCGTGGGCACCACACGAGACCCCACGGTCCGGGGAGCCGCTGGGCAGAGAGCAGAGAGACCCGCCCGAGGTCGCCGGGTGAGCCGCCCAACCTGATCCAAGGTCGCGCTGCTCAGATGACCGGGAAGGGTGACAGCACCGGTCTGCTGTCCCTCGCCGCAGGCCGTCAACCTTAGTTGCTGGCGATCGGGAGTGGGGCGGGGCGTGTGTCTGCTCTTAGTGATCTGTTGGTAACTGTCAGGACATGTGTGCGTCCTGCAGCCATTTGTGCAAAGACGCCGAAAGCTGAAGCTCAGGGCCACACCACTTCCCAGGGATGCTTGAGGACTGGGTTCGAACCCCAGCACCGCAAGAGAAAATAAAAAAGGAAGAAAGGAAAGAAAGAAAAGTGTCCTCTTAAACAAGAGGCGCAGAAAAGGAGAGACAGGGAGAGTGTGCACAGCAAAATATCGTTTCCGGCAGTGACTGTACATTGGGATGACCCTCTTGGAGGACGTGAAAGTGGGGTACAGCATTCCTGCACCAAAACGGGCACCATTACGGTGAACTAGGATAGTCAAGATTTACAAATAAATCACAAAGTATGTATTCGTATGTGGGGACAGGTATGTGTGCCATGATTGCATCTGTGAGGTCAGAGGGCAACTTACAAGAAGAACTCTATCATACAGGATCAGGAGACTGAATTTAAGTGGTCAGGCCTGGCTGCAAATGACCTCACTGGACCATCTGACTGTACCCCATTACCTTTTCCAACCATCTTGTATGTAGTATACTCATTGATAGTCTAGAGAGTCCCTAGAGATGTGTCAGTTAAAAAAGGCACTGGCCACGGAGCCTGACAACCTGAGCTAGGTCCCTGGCACCCACATAGGGAAAGAAGACAACCAACTCCCACAGATGGTCTTCAACACCACATCTGGTCTATGACATAGGTGTCCACACACATGGTAACTTTTTCAAAAAAGGGGCTGGAGACATGACTCAACGGTTAAGAGCCTTGGCTATTTTTTTTTTTTTTTTTTTTTTGGTTTTTCCAGACGGTTTCTCTGTGTAGCCCTGGCTGTCCTGGAACTCACTCTGTAGACCAGGCTGGCCTCGAACTCAGAAATCCGCCTGCCTCTGCCTCCCAAGTGCTAGGATTAAAGGCGTGCACCACCACCGCCCGGCGCCTTGGCTGTTCTTCCAGAGGACCCTGGTTCAATTCCCAGCACCCACAGGGCAGCTCACAGCTGTCCGTGGCTCCAATTCCTTCACACAGACATATGCAGCCAAAACACCAATAAAGTAAAAATTTTAAAAGTCTGGCTGGAGAGGTGGCTCAGGGATAGGAACACCCAAAAAATGTACCAGTGACCCGTAAGCTGGAACGTTATCAGTAACAGCAAAATACAATTTAAAACTGTAATTTGCCTAGTATGTATGAAACTCTAGATTCCAAATTAACTAGGCAATGGCAGTAATCCAGGCACTGAGGAGACAGAGGCAGGAAGATCAGGAACTCCAGGCCGTCCTTAGCCATACAGCAAGTTTGAGGCTAACCTAGACTAAATGAAACTCTATCCCAAAGAGGAAAGGGATTGGAGGGGGCAGTGGAGAGATGGCTCAGCAGTTAAGAACACTTACCAGTCATGCAGAAGACCCCAGCCTAGTCCCTAGCACCCATATGAGGTGGGTTACCACCACCTGTAACTCCTGTTCCAACACCTTCTGGATTCTGTACACACTGTACACAGGTATTCACACATACACAGGAAATAAACCCTTAAAAACAAACTAGAACCACGCCTATTGATGCTTCTCGTGGGTACTCTTCAGAATTTTAGAATCCCGTTTGATTTATAGCTCCCATAGACTTCGCTTCATCCTGGGGCCTTCTTAGTCCCTTGCCGAGCCCAGTGTGGCCTTGGTGGGGACAGTGACATGGTTCCTGCCCCTGAGACAGGGCCCTGGTGTGAGCCTTCATGAGTGTCAGTGACTGCTACAGACGTAAGGCTTGTCTATGTTATAATGTGCATATTTTCTAGAACCAGTACCAGCAGTGACAGACTCTTAACTTTTTTTTTTTTTTTGGTTTTCATTTTTGTTTTTTGAAACAGGGTTTCTCTGTGTAGTTCTGGCTGTCCTGGAACTCACTCTGTAGACCAGGCTGGCCTCAGAAATCCGCCTGCCTCTGCCTCCCGAGTGCTGGGATTAAAGACGTGCACCACCACCACCTGGTGACTCGTAACTTCTAAAGGATGTCCTCCCCGTTAACATTAATTAGTCCAGGAGTCGAGGGTGTGGCTGTGTCTCTGCACAATAGTAAACAGTGTGTCCTTCAGGACAGCCCTTAAGGCTATGGAAAAGAGCTCTAAATAGATGAGTTCAAATATATATAACTTCTCAACTATGCAAACAATAAGGATGCAATATGAATTACAGGAGGAGCTTCAGGGACCTAAAGGGACAAAAGCAGCTTCATTCTGAGCCAACTTGGTAGAAAATTACTAAGGAACGAGATAAAGAGATTTAGGCAGTGGTAATCAAAGGAGACCCCACCCAGCTAAGTTTTTTGTTTATTCGTACAAAGGCAGATGGATTCCTGGGTTCACGGTCAGCCCAGGACAGAGCAAGGTTAGGCCCAGGCATGGTGGAAACGGTAATTTCAGGGCAGGATCCCACCCAACTAGCTTATTGTCAGTGCTTAACCGAGGCAGACAAATCTCTGAGAGTTCTTACAGTGGTAAGAGAAAAAGTGGACTAGTTGTCTCCTGTGGATCAAAGGGCTGTGTCCTGGGATGCTGACTCATAGGATAATCAAAGGAAACCTGAAGTAAAAGACTGATTTGAAGCCAGGCAGTGGTGGTTCACGCCTTTAATCCCAGCACTTGGGAGGCAGAGGCAGGTGGATTTCTGAGTTCGAGGCTAGCCTGGTTTACAGAGTGAGTTCCAGGACAGCCAGGGCTGCACAGAGAAACCCTGTCTCAAAAAACAAAAGAACAAAAACAAAAAAATGGGCTTTTGGTCTGCATGAGATGAGCTAGCAGAAAGCCATAGCGTTTCTTTAGAATTTTCTCTAGAGAAAGCTGAAGATCTCAGGAGAGTGAACACAGCTCTTCAAGAATTTTCTCTAACAGGATTTCTAGCTTGGTTGGAAGATCCAATAATTTTTTTTTTTTTTTGTAGCAGCCTTTCTGACTTTGGTCAGAAAAAGCCGCGAGCTATCTGGATAGCTTTTAGAATTTTTACTAGCAGAGAAAGCTGTGTCAACCAGAGAGTTTTTAGAATAGCATGAAAAAGCTGTCTAGTGCAAAGCAGAACACACACACACACACACACACACGAGAGAGAGAGAGAGAGAGAGAGAGAGAGAGAGAGAGAGAGAGAGAGAGAGAGAGAGAGAGAACAGACACAGAG